GCGTCAGCTCAGCTCTCTCTCTCTCTCTCTCTCTCTCTCTCTCTTAATTTTCACAAGCAACCTGCACAGCGAGTCCACGAAGGACGACGCATACCCACGAAACCATAACAAGGAAAACGTGCACGCCTTCTCCCAAAAAACAAACAAATTCAAGCCCAACAGCTAACGCCTAAAATTATTGTTTATTTATAAATTTAAATTAATTTATTTATTCCGTTCACTATCACACTCAATATTGTTTATTGGCATTGCTGTGCTGTGAAAATAATCGCTGTCAGATTTGCTGTGAGAGAAATCAGCTATGAAGGAAAGCAGTTTGGCATTTGGTAAATTTTTTGTTAAAAGTGTTGTTGGTATTGATTTCCTCATAATTAGAAAATGATTGTGACATAATCATTAAACCCAACGCCTCTTCAAAATTGATTCCTGCATAATTAGAAAATGAAAGCACCTTATTAGCTGCTTTTCTTTATAGCTTTCTCTCACAGCAATTTTTAACAATAAGTGATTTTCTCACAGTTTACCAAACGGGCTGGACTTCTCAAAATTTTTTAAAAATCACTTATCACCCTAAATAAGCAGTGTCAAACGGGCTCTTACTATAAATTAAAAAAATAATAGGATCTCATTTTATGAGAATAATTGAGCTAAAAAAAGATTTTTTGTATTTATTTATAAAATTTACATAGGGGACGAAAAGCCCAAGACCAACTAAGCCTAAAGGTTCCTAGCCCAGTAAACTTAAAAACTCCCCTTGAGGCCCATTTACAAGACAAATAAAGTGGATTATTTTTAATTAATTTGTTCTGGCTAATAGTATCCCGCCACGTCAGAAGTGCGAAACGTCTAGTTGCATAGCGCGCTGACTCACCCCCGCCACCACACGTCGTCGCAAAAGTAAGAACCGAAACGCAAGAACTATGGCACTTGCTGGGCACCGCCTTATCTCAAGCTCCTCATCATCCACTGTAACTGCCGTTTCATCGTTCCCTCCAAAACCAAAACCCCCAATTTCAAATCACAACTTCTCCTCCAACCATGAAATTCCAAACTTCTTACACAGTCGCAGAGACGTTGCTTTGCTCTCCTTCATCGCTCTAATTCCTTCTCTTTCGCGACCCGACCCGGCATTCGGAATCTCCTTCGGCATTTGTTAGCACGCATCATTTTGATTCTTAATTTACTTTTCTAGTCATTTGCTGTCGAATCTTTAATTTGTCCATCTTTGCGCAGCAGGACCAAAGGATTGGCTCCGAGAACAAAAGAAGAAGGCCTCCAGGTTCCTCTTGGCCCCAATTGATGCCTCTAGAGAGAGCCTCCTCACTGCTCATCGAATACTCAGTCTCTCTCTCTCTCTCTCTCTCTCTCAATATATATATAAATCTATATACAAATATGTAAGTGTATTTTTTCATGGTGTTAATTTGGTAGTTTTTGACAGCGGCTACCGATTCTAATAGTACAAATGAAGAGATAGAGGAGGTTCAGAGACTATTTAAATCTGCTGCGAGGGATTGCGTTCCAGAAGACAGGAATTCATTTGTTGCATTTCAAGCCAATACAGGGGTTGAGGTTCGGCATTTCGCTCCCTTCTCATTTTTGTTTAATCTGAGTGATTACGCCGCTCTTAATTTCTAATTAGTGCATACGATAAAAACTGTACTCATGGTGAGGCTTCTAAGGACGTGTTTGAAAAATCGGCCTAGGCGGCGGGCCTTATATTTTTTATAATTTGTTTTTTCCTGACTTTAAAGAAAACCTACCTAACGCTGCCTCTCATTTCAAGTATTTTTCTTTGTAGTACTATTATTTTCTTTATGCTTAACTTTTTCCCTATGTTTTATATCAATTATGGTACTTTATAATTTAGATATCCTTTTATTTTGCATGATTTTGGTATAAATTTATATTTTGTAGTACAAAATAATTTTTTTATAAAGAAAAGCCTAGGCGCCCGCCTAGGCCCCGATTACTCCTCTAGGCGCTAGGCCCCTGCCTGCCGCCGGCCGCCTAGCGATTTGTCGAACATTGCTAAGCAGCATCTGATGCTAATTTGAAGGAATTTTTAAGACTATTTTGCATGACATTGAAAGCATCTTGTTGTAGGATAATGGAGCTGTTGAACTTTTGCTAATTGACCTCATATTAGCTATAGCTTTATTGTCCAAATTCATTTACTTCACAGGTTTGCACATTCCGTCTGGTTGTAAAGAATGCGGCGTCGTTGCTTGGTGATAAGGATCCTGTAAAATTGGAAGCTGAATCCATACTAAATGATCTTATAAGGTAGCCAAGCCAGTGTTCCTTGCCTGTATTATCCAGGCTGGTGTACATTTTATGTCTGACATATTTTCATGGTCAAGATTACTATAAAAAAACATGTTTTTTTTTCTGCATATATGTTTGGTTGTCCATACCCTGGTTTTTTTTTTCTGGCAAAAAGATTATTGGATAAAGCATTCTTCATTTCATCAAATTTTATACCCTGGTTATCGAAATTTATTGTTTCTCTATAGAATTGTTGTATTATTTCTAACATTTTCATTTTTGTTTCTGTTTTCCATTGCTTATTGTACTGCAGATCATTCACTTCTCTTAATGTTCTGGTAAATGAGACTGACGTTCAATTTGCCTCTGAAAGGTATGTCTCTTTTGTCAAGATAAACATGGGCAAGGGAGAATTTTCTTGAAAACATGCTATAGGAATTGCATGTAGAAGTTTATTTACTTTCAGCTTTCTCTTTACCCTTAGATGGAATTTTGTGAGTAACCTGTTTGGGTTTATAGGCACCAAGTTGTAGTAGTAACCATTCTATCTGACTAATTTTTTTGTTGGGCTGCAGAAAGAAGGTTGCAGATTCTCTTATGGATACCATATCATCCCTAGACAAATTTGAGCAGGGAATTAAGGACTGCCTTGAAGCTTGACCAATATGTATTTGTTTTCCTTGCAGAAGAAAACTATCTTGTGGACGTCATGTTTGAAATTCTGCAGATGCATGTTTATTCCAGATTCAGAAATCTCTCTTTGCTCTGTCTGTTCGGTGTCTTGATTTTTCCTCTGTCATGTTCTTTGACCTTATTTTGGTGCATTCTTTTTCCTATAAGATAGATCCTTATAATTTAGTATCGTTATTGAATTAAGTAAATGCTAGTTCTGCTCCAACCAAAAAGGAAAAAGAAAAAAGAAGTAAATGCTAGTTTTGTTGCGAAGTCTTTGTGTTGCAGTCTCAGTTTCTCATTGTAGAAATATCATTCTGGTCGTTGTTATCAGAATGGGATGCAATTAGCTCTGTAGAAATGTACATTTCGTCACATCTTAAGTCATTCTAGTCATTCAGTTCAATCTAATTGTGAACATGAATCCACAAACTAACTAAATGTCTGGCTTGAAATAAAGCAAAATGCACACTTATAAATTTGTGTACTTTGCATACTGAAGGTTACCAATTGTCGGTGAGCATTGTTGATAATTTGCCTAACATAATTGAACAACTGAATATGTACATATTTGTTTGCTAATGAAATTGTCAGACATCTTAAATTCATTTGAGTTCTCATTCCAATGGAATATATTTTCCTTTGACAGTACTACAAATATTGATGCCTACTCCTATGCTGCTTTAATTTTGAGTTGACACTTGTGGTATCAAATTATAAATGACCTGTTGGTCCCTGTGGAGTGGTCTAATAGGTAATCAGATGTTGCTACACCAACTGGCTGTGAAGTGTTCCATCATCTGGCTGTGTTTATACTGACCTAGACAAGCTGCGCAGCTAGTTGGAGATATTTAGTGAACATCAGCTGGCCATCTATGGAATAGTTTGCTTTGGTGAACCAGAAGCCTCAACCAAATACAAGCGACAACATGGTGTTCCATCATCTGGGTGGGTATATACTGACCTAGGCAAGCTGCGGAGCTTGTTGAACAGATTTAAGGGATCGTGCATGAGCCCAAAATGAGCATCTGGATCACCAATTTGTGAAAGTTTAACATGAGAAAAGCCAAGAGATGGCAGGAGATGATCAGGCCAATCGCTGTAGAAATGGAAGATGGAACTGGAGAGACTGGTTGATGGTTTGTTCATAAAATCTGCCAAGAGCACTGTGTTAGTAAGCGAGCACTTGTCTGCTATGATTTCAAGTACTTGTGTGGCCTCAGAGTGGGATAGGTAGTAGAGGATGCCTTCCAGAACCCACACTGTGTTCTTCTCTGGCACAAACCCTGATATTTGAAGTTTTTCGAGCCAGTCATTGCTTCTGATATCAGCCGCCACTCTGGTTATGGATTTTGCTGTTATCTTTAGATACTGGTGATCGTTTGTAGAATCCATCGCTGCTTGCAGAAGAGTGGCTTTAATTTGCAGGACTTCAGGAAAATCAACTTCAAACACATTGCTTTCCTTCAAGCAACTCAATCGGTAAGCCCTTGCATCCATTCCTACAAAAAGAAGTGCATATTTCATTTTGGCTGAATTTTTACTTTCTATACACGTGAGATTTGAGAAATTTACGTTCCATATACATGCTATTAATAATTCAATATTCACTACAATTAGTATCTCAATGCATGGTCCAAAAGTTTGTCCTGGTTTCCTAAAGCTAGCACGCATAAATGACCAATAAATCCTGACCTGCATAAGGGGATCAGTTTTACTAGAAATGGTCACAGCTCTACAAGGATTCTCCCAGTAGATTGTGATAAAGCAATGTAAATGAACAACTAATACAGTGTGGGGATTTTCTAGTACCCAGAACTCATATGCTTTGAAATCTACTTTACAGCAAAAAATGCCCCAACATCATGCATCGTAGGCACGAAGTTCACCTTGATGCATGCCGCATTGGTTCAATAAATGCTGTTAACAAAAAAAACTTGTGGTAGAGTAGTTACCAACCTGCCCCAAGAAGAACTACTTGTGCTTCTCTGTCATTGAAGGAATGAAGTGCTGCTTCAAGTTTTGAATCAAACCAGAGGGTTCGAACTGCAAGAATGACTCCAGAGATTTCTCGTGCTTTGTTGACACAGTCTTTCTTTATCTTCTCATGAAAATTTTTTAGGTACGTCTCTCCAGCAAGTATGTCTGCCAGGGGATCATGAATCACATGCTTCCACAAGGCTCTACCGGCTGCAGTTTGGCATGCAGACAGCTGAAGGGGATCCCATTCATTCTCAATTGTTGCATGGACTTGTCGAACGGTGTGCGTAGACAACAAGTCAGGAAGCTTGAACTCCGGCCATGTTGGGTGTTCAGAAGAGCCATTTTCTTGACTTGACATGGTCTTTAGATTGCAAGGAAAGGTCTTTAGAGTGCAGGGAAACTTAGAAACTAATAGAAAGGAATGAAGAACATATGGCATGCTATGTGTAGGGATCAAAGGTTGCAGGTGATATAAGGGATAAGAAAAGAGAGCCACACACAAAAACCAAGGGTTTGAGGAGAATGGGTTATAAGTCGCATCCAGTTTTTTTTTTATGAAGATTTTTTCCTGGATGAAAAAGGGAGGTAGCAATGTAGTCCACGACTACCACAATTCACGCTGTATACGCTTATTACTAGTAGGCTAAGTACTTTTTATTGATAATTGACGACTGACGAGGAAGAGCTCCACAGAAAAAGACATTATCTGATGCGAGTGGCTCCCAGGAAACTAATATTAGATGGCTAATAAAGGAAGCACCAGTACGTGCTCATATAACAAGTACTCGTTTGTTTGTTTGGTTTTTTCGCATACGACAAGAAGGCATCATACTTGGAGCTCTTGGTGGTACAACTTTTACTTTGCGTTGCACCAAGGGCAAATTGGCGTGAGGCTATTCGCGGTTCCAAACAAATCCCCGCAATTGATTGGCTAATTGGGTCGCTGCGATTGCAAATTTGCACCACACTCATCAATAGTTAGCAAAAGATCTTCAGCCGTGCTGGTTAATTTCTCTAGATTATTAGAAATAAGCTCATTTTAACATGACATAATAAATAAATAAACCGCATATAGAGCCTATTTGGGGAGAAAAACCCAAAACTAGAAAATGACAATGACAACAAGTGGCTAGTTTTGGGTTTCTCTCCAAATAGACTCTAAGGATTTTTGTTTATTATGTCATGCTAGAATGAACCTATTAATGAAAAGCCATGACCCTCCATTTGGATGAGGGAAAATAATTCGGAATTTAGTTAAAAGTCGAGAATTTAATAGGAGAAATTGACAATTCTCTTGTTGGCAACTTAAGTACGGAATTTATTAAATGACGCATGGAAAAAATCGTGAAAATTGGGGCATCAAATTTCCTAGTTTAATTTTCATCAAAATAGACGTCATTTCACAATTTTCATAGTAACATTTATAAAATTATGTCATTTACAAAATTTGACATGCATAAATCCAAATATTGAAATATTCAATTGTCAAAAATTCGAGTGATAGAAATCTAAATTCTGTCATTTTAGAATTCTATGTCATTTTTATTTTAGTCAACGTTAGAGTTATTTTATTATCAAGGTGCTTGGGGACCATACAGTGAAATCGAGAGCCTTATTACATGAGAGCGACATACATTTGTTTTATAGTCGGGTAAATCCAACTGTAAAAGTGAAGGAATAATGCTACTATTATCACATTTGTATACCACATTCTTATACCACCTTATGTGGCAGATGAAGTGAACAACACATCAATTAAATTAAATTAAATATTTTTTTTTCTTTAGTGATTTATTGACACTTTTTAATTGATGCGGTTGTCCACTTCATTTGTCACATAAGATGATATGAAAATGTGAGATAAAAATGTAGTAAGTGTAGTTGTACTCTAAAAATGCTCAAAGTCAAAGGTCTCAAACTTGTTTTAACAAAATTGAGAACATCTGCGGGGAAAACGAAAAGTAGGTTTGGCGCCCTTTTTTTTTAAGATAGAGTTTTTAGTATTTTTAATAGAATTTACGAAAAAAATGGTTAGGACAACATAACTAGAAAAAATATTATTTTGATTTGCTTTCTGGTTGTATTTTGTCTTTTAGTAGGGCCAGGATGAGTAAAGTGACAAATGGCTGGGTCCACAGGCAGCGAGGCATTGGCGCATAGAAGTAAAAATGGCCGGAAATGGGAGGCAGTCGTGGCATAGAGAGGACCGTTACTTATCTGCAAAGATACCTAACATATTCGAATCCACGGCTGACGAGGTTATTATTATTCCCGAATTAAATTATCATCGCTCAATGCAGACGTCACGTAAGCGTATCGTGTAAAATCACAAATGACAGGCCCAAGTGGGTCACACAGCAGCAAGACTCTTCCATTCTCAACTACCGCGCTGGTGAAAAAAAGAAGACAAGTGGTCAAAATGGGTCGTGATAAAATCGAGGGAAAGGAACCGGCAAAATAGTTATCCAAGAGACAATCATGTGGTACTGAGAGACAAAACCCACACGCACCGCTACAAATTTCGGTCTTCGGTCTACAGTCTCCAGCAACCCAACGAGCGAGCAACAGAGATGGCTGCGGAGGTGACCTGTTGTGGGACGAAGTTCTGGCTGTATGTGCTTATCATCATAGGGCTGGTGTGCTTTGCCGGAATGATGGCTGGGCTGACGCTGGGCCTCATGTCTCTCGGCCTCGTCGACCTCGAGGTCCTCATGAAGTCCGGTCGTCCTCAGGATCGCAAGCACGCCGGTAAACTCATACTCACTCTTAATTTCATTGTTTTTTGCTTGCCTTTTCGAGCTCATCTCTCAAGTTTTAAGACGAAGTAACTCATAGAATTTCGCATTTTAATACTTGTTACTCTGGGCCTTCTATGATCATCTGGGTTCTGAGCTAATCGGTGATGACGACTATTTCTCTATTGAATCCATTCAAAGGATAGTTGGTGTTAATATTCGCTGCAATTGGCTCAGTTGGGCTTATTGTGGTTCTGTGGAGGTTTTAGTTGGACGGTGTAAATGATCAAGTAACAGATGTAGCTTGTTCAGCAGTTTTGCCTGGCTTTAAGAACGGTTTGTGGATTGAAAATGATATAATTGGTTTTTCAAGATGTCGGACACTAGGCAAAAGTACTAGATGACTGAGTTGATTGTAGACCAAGTCGAACCAATAGATGACTGTATGAATCTGCAAAAACTAGTTTATGTTTAGAGGTCTAAAACTAGTCTGATTTTGGCAGCTAAGATTTATCCAGTGGTAAAGAATCAGCATCTGCTACTTTGTACACTTTTAATTGGCAACGCCTTGGCGATGGAGGTAACTATGTGATTTTGTGTCTTTATATTGGCATTCAGTTCTGTTTTCTTACTAATCAATGAACGGTTCTTTTGATATTAGGCTCTTCCTATATTCTTGGACAGTCTTGTGCCCCCTTTGGCAGCCATTGTGATATCAGTCACTCTCATCCTCGTGTTTGGGGAGGTGGGTTGTTATAATAGCTTATTACGAATGATTAATTTGAGAAGTTATATACATACAAAAGATATTCACTTCTATTTCTTTGTACACATTACTTCAGATATTGCCACAAGCAGTCTGTACTCGCTATGGATTGACAGTTGGGGCAACAATGGCCCCGTTTGTGCGCGTTCTTCTTATTCTTTTCCTCCCAATTTCTTATCCAATTAGTAAGGTGATCTTAATATGTGAACTCACGTAATGATTACCACAACTCTAAATGTATGTTAAGTTGTGTTATGCAGCTTAGCTGAATATATTCTAGCCTATCATGTTATTTTCTCTATTCTAAATATGTTCTGTCAGCAGGTTCTGGATTGGATGTTAGGTAAGGGGCATGCCGCCCTTTTAAGGAGAGCAGAGCTAAAGACTTTTGTGGATTTTCATGGTAATGAGGTATATAACTCAACTAAGCTCTGGCTTGTAGCAAGTTCACTTTAGGCACTATATTGTTAGGAACTATACTAGTAGTCTAGTGGCATATGTTAGGAAATTTTATGTTCGGACCTATGTTTTAACTCTCTGAAATTCCTCCTGTTTCCCATGTTCTCTGATTAAATATCGGATATGCATATGATTTGTTATTTAGGCCGGGAAAGGCGGGGATTTAACACATGATGAAACTACCATCATCGCTGGGGCACTTGAGTTGACTGAAAAGACTGCAAAAGATGCCATGACTCTCATATCAAGCGCATTTTCCCTTGATCTGGATGCACCTCTTACTTTGTGGGTTTGTGGATTCCAGTTTGTTCTCTCTATCATATCTTATGCATTCTTCCATGCTTCTAAACCTTGCTCTCTCTCTCTCTCTCTCTCCAGGGAAACACTGAATGCAATAATGACAAAGGGTCATAGTAGAGTTCCAGTTTATGCTGGGAATCCCAAAAATATTATTGGACTTGTTCTGGTAATGTCATTTTGACTTGATTATATACTTTTGTCAAAGTTGAAGTGATGCTTCATGTCTGACCGAGAAATAAGAAAAGGTGAGGCTGTGCGAAAACTTATCAGTTCAATCTCATCTACGTTCAGGTTAAGAATCTCTTGATGATTGATCCAGAAGATGCAGTTACTTTGAGAAAAATGATGATGAGAAGAATTCCTCGGTATGATAGTACCACATTATCTTTTTCTCTTTTGTCATCTGATAGAAGACATGAGTTCCTGTGATTTTGAGGGGTTCACACACCTGAGATAGTTCATTTCACCATCCGTGTATTATTTCTTGTTGGGCCAGAGTTGAATTATTCTTGACTGAGCTTTTCATTTGTTCCACAGGGTTTCAGAAGACATACCTCTGTATGATATTCTAAATGAATTTCAGAAGGGTCACAGCCACATAGCTGTTGTATATAAGGATCTAAATGGGAGAAAGGAAGCACTAAAGAATGGCAAAGAGGGTGAAACATCCGTGTTTAAGGATGACTGTAAGATGCAAGGAGGCCAATCTGAGGCCCCATTGAAGAATGGTGTGTGCATACGTTGTATTTTTTTCCCCTCAACATCCTCAAGGAGTATTCCTGATAAATTATGGCGATATCACTGCAACTTCTTTTACATGCTTTCTTCCTCAACATCCTCAAGAGATGTGTTCTCCAATGACTCTAATCTGATAATTTATGGCTGAACCACTGCCACTTCTTATTATGTCTTTCATTTCAACTACGTAATTTGTGTTTTTGGGAAATTACCAGATGGAAAAGTGGGTTTAAACAATGCTCAGATAGCAATGGACAATGGTGACGGAGGTCAACAAAATAAAAAAAGCCCACCAGCTACTCCGGCTTTTAAGAAACGACACAGAGGTTGTTCGCATTGTATTCTGGACATTGAGAATACTCCTATCCCAGTTTTCCCAGACAATGAAGAGGTTGTAGGAGTAATAACCATGGAGGATGTCATTGAAGAACTTCTTCAGGTAATGGTGGTGTTTGAACATGTTAGATTTATATATTATAGGATTAAGTAACTGAATCTGCTT